CTGCCAGTATCATTTTCATTACTCCCTTCCACACTGACCTACTTGTGCATTCTCTTTCTTTCTCCCTCTCTCTCTCACACACATTTTTTCCCTTTAAAAAGAAAAGGAGAAGCATTCATTCTCTTCCTGGCACCTGGTAAAATAATTATTATTTATCCTTTTTAAAAAAAAAAAGAAAAAGAAAAAAAGGAACTTACAGTATTTGTTCCCATCCCCACTGCTGCTCACTAGGCAATGAGTAGAAACAATCCTTTTTTCTATTTAATTGTTCTCCGGACTTTTTCAAAGTTTGTTGAAACTGCTGGCTGACTTCATTTGGGAACTGGTGCTCCAGCAAGCTTTGTGAAATGTTTTGGAAACAGATTAATTTCCTTCCTGCTGACTGGAAAGCAGAGCGGGGAGGAATGGAACAAGCAGGTTAAAAAGTACTGGTAGGTCACTGAGAGTGTAGACCTGATTAACAGGGCTGGAAAAGCACTGCCTGTTAATCAAATCTAGAAGTTGAGTGGTGTTTTAAAGTGCAATGGAGATTCATCCTAGTGGTCTGATGCTCAACACTGTTTTTTCAACATTATCTGCCTGAGAGCTATAGGCATTGCATCAGGTTATGAACATATGGAGTGTATCATGTGAAATGTGTGCATCAATGGATGCATGTCATTTATTGTCTGCAAACATAGACCCAATAATTTTTTAACTGGTGGGTCTGTGTTAGCAACTATTCCCACATCCTCTATAAATCAGGCCTAGCAGAGCCATATTTCATAAGTAGGCACACTAGTGTCTTCCAGATATGTTGAATTTCAATTCCCTTCTCATTTAGCATGAAGAGTGGCAGGGGACTGTGGGAGCTGTAGGTCCAAACATCTGGAGAACATCTGGTTGCCTATGCTTGACATGCGTCATAGGGTTATGGGAAGGATTATTGAGATGATGTACATGAAAGGCTTTGTACATATTTAGGCAGCATCTCCTGAATCTGAGTTGCCAGATGCTACATTGCTGAATAGGAAAGAAGCTGACATTCAATACATCTGGAAGCCACCAGGTTGCCTAGTTCTGAAATACATCATTGCTCAGCCTGATTTATACAGGATGTGGGAATAGCTGCTGATATGGGGCCACCATTTAAAAGCTTATTGGGTCTATGTTTACATATAATAAATGACATACATCCACTGATGCAAATGTTTCCCATGATATATTCCTTAGGTTTATAGCTTAATACAGTGCCTTAGCTCATGTCATTCTGACCATTAGCCATGCTAGCAGAGGATGATGAGAGGCGTAGTCCAGCAACATCTGGGGACTCAAGGTTGTAAAGTGTGGCATCCATTCCTTACAGCATTC